TTGAGACCGCTGTGTTGTCGGTGACCCAAGTGATGAACAAATTGCGCTGGTTGTTGCCGGGAGTCATGCTACCTATTTGGAAGTTACATGTATGAACTTGATGCTGACAAGGTGACACAGTCAAAGGATGACTCTGCCGAAGATCAAAGGGGGATGATGTGAGCGTGCTCGAATGGGGACCGAGTTACCTATTGATTCACAAAAGCCTGCTTGACTGCTTGTCAACTCTTGAAATCATTAAACAGCTCTCGGCTACAACAAATTTCACTTCGTCGGCCTGTTCCAGCTTGGCTGTTAGGCCCCCGCTGCCTCGATTGGTAGATCTGATCTGCCACAAGGACCTGACAGCTTGACAGCTTGATGGCATATGCTGCTCCCCTGTCTTTTCCGGCAACTCGGGCGACCCTCAGGAACGGTCAGTCTGATCCCGACAACGTGGGTGGTCGCCGGCAGATGAGAGAGCTAAGCTTCTGGGCAACGCCTTAGTCTGCCATGTGTAAAGTGCTTGCATCTCGCTCGAACCCCTGGCATCTCTGGTCAATTGACGAATCAAGCGTCGAGATGAAATAGTCAACTCGGAATGATGCTGTCATACAAGCGCCGAGGCTGCTCATGGATCATAGTGTCAGGGGCAGGGGTTGCGGGTTGCGAATTGCAGCTTTCTGCTTCGTTAAGAGCTGGCTTGGCAAGATAGAGTACTGCCGTGGCCTTGAATGTGAGGTTCTTGAGTGACGATTTTCGTGGTGTTTGTAGTTGGTAACTTAGTGTATAGCGCATCTATTCGCTTGTCCCGGGCCAGCTCAGGAGTTGCAACTAGCAACTTGCAGAGCTCCATACTCACTCAAATAGTCGTAAGGCCCAGCCTTATAATATGTCATTTCTGGGCATCTCATTATGGAACCAACACGAAGTCATAAATCACCGTTATGGGGAAGACCGTCAGTTGTACATCAAGTATACCAGTGTAGAATAGCGGTGACTTGAGGTGAGTGCTTAAATGAGGCTTCACGATGTTTAAGTTGTCCATACCTAGACACATTTGGCGAAGTTTCATGAAAACGCTTTGGAACGACGACTCACAGAGCTACTAGAGAGATTGCAGGAATTTGAAGTTGAATGATTTTAGTAAATTCAAATCTAACGCTAAATTATGTAGGAAATTGAAGGCACCTCAAGCCATGCCGGACTGCAAGCCCTTGATTGCAACCATCGCACCCCAGGCACCAGGGTCAGGGTGGAACGATGTATCCTTTCCAGACGCCGCAACATACGTAGCGCGACCCAGCTTCGCCTTGGTCTTTCTGGTGTACTCGGCCCCCTCGACCGCTGCCTCGACCGCTCCCTCGAAGCCCTTGTTGCGAATCGCATCGACAAAGGGGATCAACGTATCCAAGATGGTCCGGTCTCCGATCTTAGCGGGTGTGTAGTGGCTCAGGTGCTCCAGAGCAGACGTGAGCGCTAGTGTCCAGAGAGGCAAGATACCTTGCGACTTTGCCAGCGACGCGTTCTCTTCTACAGAGTTGCTAAGCGAAACGAAGAAGATGCCGAGGATACCCCCAAGCGTGCCACCCATTTTGCTCTCAACAATGTCTTCCAGCTCGTGAAGAACCGAGACGATCGATCCTTCAGCTGCGATGCCCTTGTTGTCTAGAGCATCAAGGAGATGCGACGCGCCTGTCTTGAGTGTCTCACCGCAGTCGCCGTCACCCATCACCATGTCCCACTTTGTCAAGTCGGGCTCGGCTTCGACAACCGCCAGGCAAGCCTTGTTCAGCATAGACTTTAGCGTTGCCGGGTCCATCCTGACGTCACGGTCTGCTTCGATCTTCTTTGGCTCCTCGGGAGGTGACTTTACGAACTGGAGTTTTCTGTCACGGCGGACAGCTTGAGCTCCGGCCATCGACTCCCAGTGTGTGTTGGTCTTGAGGTCAGCGAATTGGAAGATTTGCTCTGCTGAGAAGCTGCATTTCTTCGATGCCGCTGTGATGTTCATCAGGGAAATTGAGAATGCAGGTGCGTTGAGAGAGGTTTCGAGAGGGCCGGAGTACACTCTCGCAGGCCTAATGTTCCACTTTGTGTCAAGCTGCTCAAGGAGCTCGTCGACCAAAGCGCCCATTTCCAGGTAGGAGATGCCTCCAAAGTTGCTGACGAGAAGGATTGTCTCGTCGTCGTTGTTGAACTTGATATACGCCCGGTCGTGATCCTCTTGGTCCAAGCAGTACCGCAGCAGCTGGTCAATCAGACCCTCTGCAGACGGCGCAGGCGAGACCTTGCTGTAGCCAGGCTCATTGTGAGGTCCAGTTCCAACCTCTACCTCGTCAGCGCCCAGACGAGCGTGCTCTGTGCGCCCTGGTACGTGGCAGTGGTCCATGGTGGCCGCGATGGACACAATCTCAGACTCGACGGAAACACCGAGCTTGTGGATATCATCGAGAGTGCCAGCCTTGACGCCGGCCGCTCCACTGATGACTTTGAGAACACCAATCTGCCCGGCAAGACCTCTGCGTCCTACCAAGCTACCACCAGCCTTTCCAACAGACACATCGTCGCCGCAGATGATCATGCGGCAGTTGTGCCCGCGACTCCGTGCCTTTTCGGCAGCGAGGCCAAAGTGGAGGCAGTCGCCGGTGTAGTTTGTGATGACGAGGATAGTGCCGACGTCTGAAGGCACACGCTCAATGGCAGACTGAATTTGCTTCGCGGACGGGCTGGCAAAGATGTCTCCGGACACGGAAGCCGCCAACATGTTGTTGCCGACATAACCTGCCCACGCGGGCTCGTGACCGGAGCCACCGCCAGAGATGATGCTGATTTTGGACTTGTCGTATGTTGAGTCAAAGACCACACGGTTTGACTGGTCCAGACCAAGGGAAGGGTTGTATGAGATGAAACCTCTGAGGGACTTATCAACGAGTCCCTCCGAGGAGGTGAAGATGTGGCGGTCGGACATGGCTCGTGATGATGCTTCTATCTGTAAGTGTAGAGGTATTGGGTGTCGATGGAGCTAATAAAACAAGTTGCAACAATGACCAGAATGCGCTTCCTCTGATGTTGAAGTTCAATTTGACTCTAACTTTTCCTACAGATAAGCTCATTCTGTTGCCGAACGCTCGATATCATATGTGGTGTGGTCGGTTGATGGTGTGCGATTTTCCGGGGACCCAGTAAATCGGCCGTAGGTGCGTCTCGACCCCGGATTTCCGCTGCGGAAGATCGGCTAGGGGGTGAGCCATCCGCGACAAATCACACCCACACCGATGCACATGACGGTCTCTACGCTTTATAAGTATTGCAAGTCGTGGTTACGGCCTTTGGTACTTCTTGATGCTCATCTCCCTACATCCGAAACCCCTAAGAAGCCTCCATTTCCAAATCCCGTCATCCAGCTTCACCACCCCACATCATACAAGAACATCAAGATGGGCAGCAACCCCGTTTCCAAGTACCGCATTGTCGTCGGATGCGACGTAAGTCGTCAAACTCGCTTTACTTCTCATAAGTTTAGACTGACACATGAACAGGAGGCTGGCATCAAGTACAAGGACACAATCAAGGCCGACTTTGAAAAGGACGCTCGCGTCGAGTTCGTCGAGGATGTCGGAAGCCATGACGGCGCAGACAAGACGGCGTACCCTCACAGAGCCGCGGCCGCCGCTCAAATGGTAGCCGACGGCAAGGCCGACCGCGCACTGCTCATCTGCGGCACAGGACTCGGCATGGCCATCGCCGCCAACAAGATCAAGGGCATCCGCGCTGTGACGGCACACGACAGCTTCAGCGTCGAGCGTTCAATTCTCAGCAACGATGCCCAAGTGCTGTGTATGGGTGAGAGAGTCATTGGTTTGGAGCTTGCGAGGCGGCTTGCAAAGGACTGGCTTGGGTACACATTCGACCCTACGAGCAACAGTGCTGAAAAGGTTCACGTCATCAAGAGTCTGGAGGCCACTGCATGAAGCAGGCAGGTAGTTGCATTTCATTTCAATTACGATTAATAAAAGCGTTCATTTCGTTCGTCGTTTATCCTGAATCGCGGCATTCGCGATGACATACTGAGTTCTTGTGGATATCTGATCTCGTGCCCTGTGCTCTCATCTCACACCCAAAGTCGTTGAGATTTCGCAATCACGCCATTATCCATCCAGACTTAGTAGAACGATAAAACATATTGATTCGTCTCACATGTACGCCTCGGCGCGCAGTGACTGAGGCTACATGCAGAACCTGACAGACTGATCCAGGACCGTGGTATGAAGTGACAGATTCGAGGCCAAAGTACAACCCTACTTAGTACTAAATCATAGAAAAAGTACTTAAGACTGCATGAACAGCCACCATCCTAATTTTATTTCCTTTCACTCATTTTGTTCATTCTCACAAGCGTGACCAGTGAGGCGACGGAAAGCCCGCGGCAAGCTCGATTAGCATTGAGACTCTAAGAGCAGCAATAAGTGGATGGTTCCAGGTGAGCTGGTTGTTTATTCACAGGATAGCCTAAAACTCCTTGACTCCAATCTTCAGGGAATTGCCCTCTACTCACTCTACATTGTTCGCTCTTTCAACTCTCGTTTCCATTTACCCTCTGCATCGAGATGGACCTCATCATTCCTTGCTTCCCCGCGTCTTGACCTTGGTGGGGCAGAATTCAAGTGAGCTTGGTGAGATTTCTCAGCGGAAGTCTGGCCGCATATGTCACCAACGATGGACGGAGAAACATCGTGCTTTCCGAGTCCGTGATTGACAACTTCATCGCCGTTTGAGGCCATCGGACAACCGGGAAGTTTGACGACATGATGAGGAAGATTGCCGCAAAGATGGGTCGAGTGACCGGCCGCAAGCCCCTCCTGGCGGGGTACGGTCCCGATTTTCCGCACTATTTGAAGTGCATGGCCCGGACGCTGCGTTTCTTCACATGCAACTCAACAACCCGTGAAGCACCAGGTCAATGGTCGAAGGAGAAGCCGTCCAGATAACGTTGCACAGAGCAGTGCCATACCCTCAAGATGACTACACCACCGAACCGGAGGCTCATCGGCCTTTCGACGAAGATGTACTTCCCGCTCCAACGCACGCTCGACTTCATCGCCACAGTTCAGACACAACTAGACGCCCTGTCTTCAACATCTCTGGAAAACGTCGACATCTTCATCATTCCCGATTTCATCTCCATCCACCCCGTCAGCGAAGCCCTCAAGTCTTCAGCTGTGCCAATCCGGCTGGGCGCACAAGACTGCCACTGGGATGACTTTGGAGCCTTCACCGGAGAAGTTAGCCCGGCTGTCCTACGTGAAACGGGCGTCTCAATCGTCGAGATCGGACATGCGGAAAGAAGGAGAATATTTGGCGAGACCGATGAGGTCGTGGCCAAGAAAGCCGCCGCGGCGAGCAGGAACGGGATGGCGCCTTTGATTTGTATCGGCGAAAAGACAAAGGGAGACTTGAGCATCGCACTGGGAGAGTGTCAAGTCCAGATTGATCAGTCCCTGGCGGACGTGCCTGAGTCTGCCGAAGTTATCATCGCGTATGAGCCTGTCTGGGCGATTGGCGCAAGCGAGCCGGCCAGCGAGGGCCACGTTATTGAGGTGGTCAAGGGGATTAGGGCATTTGAGAGCGTTAAGAGGAGAACGGGCACGACTAGAGTCATTTATGGCGGCAGTGCTGGGCCGGGCTTGTTTGAGAAGCTGGGCGAGGCCGTCGATGGGCTGTTTCTTGGGCGGTTTGGGCATGATGTGCCAAGATTCCTCACCACTGTATCGGAAGTGGCTTCTTTCAAGGCTTAGACTCAATCTTCTCAAAAGCTATAGACATGTGGTAGACGTGCATTGTAAATGCTCATTCTGGTTGTCGCTAGACGGGGCGAACTTCATTTTTACATCTCTTGGGTTTTCTGAATGCTTGACTTTGACTCTTGCATCGCTTATAACTCGGCAGATTCTCTTCGCGCTTCCGAACCTCCAAGCGCCCCCAGAAGCCCCTCGTTTCTCGATGGCCAGACATTGCCGACGTTGGGTAAAGCCCGAAGAGTGTCCATGTTGTGATTCCCAGTCTCAATGACTACCCCAGAGAAGATCGCATGATCAAATCTCTTCACTACCTTGGTTCTTTCATCCGCTGTCAACTTGTTGATGAGAGCTTCTCTATCTTCATCCTGTGGGGCGAGTATCAGCGCATCCCGCGGGGCACAGACAGTTGAGTCGATGGTAAGAACACACCTTGCTGCTGCCAAACTCGATGATGAACTTCTCACCCATTGCGGAGACTATACACGCAATCAAAAGTGCAAAGATGTATGATCGCATTGATCAAGAGTGATATCGAAATACGTTTGGAGACTGTGTTGTTGTCGTTGTGAAGTTGGGTTGACCAGTGGCGTGGCAGAAGCGCCCGTGATTACGCGCTCACAGGTGCAACAATCACCTTCCTAAAAGGGGGCTCTAGCATCAACTCGTCTTTTCGCTTGTATTTCTTGCAGCGAAGTACATCACATCCCAATTGCACAAACAAAATGCATCTCAAAGTCGTTTCCATCCACCATCAAACACAGGGGAAGCCAAAGCCCAGATGTCTAAACATTTGCCCCCTTCGCTTGCAAACATGATGAACTACCAAGGTCCACCAGCCGCTTGGCTCTGCGTGGCTGCGTGGGGTTTTCAGCAGGTATCATCCCCTGTTAGCAATACATCCTTAGCAATTCAAGAAATGGATCTCATCATCATTAGTTTCCATTGAAATAAACGTTCACTCTCGCCGATATTACCTGTCTTTCGGTCACATCAGTTATGAGATGGCCCCCAAGATTGCCTTAACCGAGGGCGCTTGTCTTGACTGCCTTACCAATTCATGGCCGATATCGCAAGCCTGCGCGCCCTTCAGGATGCCCCACGTCATTAGTACATGTAGAAACTTTTACTCATGCCAAAGAAAGCACCCAAGCTGAACTTCATCGGAGCTATTCAAACCTGCAGTTGGAGTTGCATCTGCATCGTATCAAGATACGAAAACACATTGGATTGGTAATCAAGTCGATATAACTTCGAAGGAATTTCTCTACACTTACGTTAAGCAATTCCTTCCAACCTGCACGTCTTTCCAGACTAAGTCGGTGCTCACCATGTCGTACACCGAGGAGCAAATTGATCGATACCTCCACCACACCAACTACCCGCGGGAGAAACATGCATCGGATCGGCTGCAGCTCTTGAAGGAACTCCAGGCTCATCAACTTGCCCGAGTTCCCTTCGAGAGTTTGACCCTGCACTACTCAAAGCACCGCCTGATTTCCATTGATCTTGAGGATCTCTTCGACAAGGTTGTAGTCCAGGGTAAAGGCGGTTATTGCATGGAGCTGAACGCCTTATTCGGTGCTATCCTCAAGGGACTCGACTTTAGTCTCGTCAGCGTTGGTGCAAAGATCAAGGGAGATGAGAGGTTCGGCGGATGGTAGGCATTTGTGCGAACTCCAATAACAACTTAGCGCTGACCTTGGGCAGGTCCCATATGCTCAACATCGTCACGATCGAAGCTCAGCGCTACCTAGTCGACGTCGGGTTCGGCAAATGAGCAACCATGATTCCCGTGCCCTTGAACAAAGAGATCGGCCACGAGTTCACCACCATCGCTCCCCTGCGAGGCAAGCTCGTCTACCAAAAGCTAGACCAAAACACGGATTCGAGCCAGCGCATGTGGGTGTACTCTTCAACCGACACCGCCGATGGCCCCTTCCGAGAGCGTAACTGCTTCATAGAGCAAGAATTTTTCCCTGAGGACTTTGAAGTCATGAACTATGCCGTCATGATGAGACCAACCAGCTACTTTGTCAAGACGGTCTTGTGCATGCGGACGATTCTAAATACTGAGACGAGAGAGGCCGAAGGCACTATTGTGCTGCACAAGGATGAGGTGAAGCGCAAGATTGGCGACAAGGTTGAGGTTTTGGAGACGTTGAATAGCGAGGCTGAGCGCGTGCGGGCTATCGAGAAGTACTTTTACATCTCACTTACACCCGCGGAACAGAAGGCTATCAAGGGTATGCCTCAGGAGTCGTTGGAGAAGAAGTAGCAGAGGGACATTGTGACATTTACTGTTGGATCTCTGTGGAGGCAATACTACTGTATTGGATCTGATGATGATGATGATAGGAAAAGCTGAGCGCTGGCTGGGCTGGATATCTGGGCAAGGTGTAGGTGGGGCAGCTCCGAGATGTGAAGGAGCTGCCTCACGTGACCCACCTGCACCTGCCACACCGCCCCTCAGGCCAGCCACAGTGAAAACTATCGTACATGTGAGAAGCAGGCTCAAATACCGACAATCCCAATTAGTCCTCCGCTGTATCCCATGCTCCGCCTATATCCTCCGTCCTGTGCCTGAGCCAAATAATCCTTTATCCCTTGTTTGTTCGGTCGGGTATAAGGATATCTATATGCTCATTTGCAAGCGATTTTCGTAAGGCCAAGCATTTTGACGAAGTTGGCGTGCTTCTCGTGATTTAACGGCTTCGTGAGTCCGTCAGCAGGCATGTCATGTGTTCGGATAAGTTTGAGGTTGAACAAGCCGTTTTTGACTTGATCGATGATCCACTTGTATCGTAGATCGATGTTCCTGGTTCGCGCCTGGTTTAGTGGATTCGTTACGTTGATCAGCGCGTTGCGGGAATCAGTAAATAGGACCGTAGGACGAGGTTGAGTGCAGCCGAGAAGTCTCAGCAGCTTATGAACCCATTGGACCGAAAGTCCCGTTGGAGTAAGGTTAATGAATTCAGCTTCCGTAGAGCTGGTTGTGACGTAAGTCTGTTTCTTCGACTTCCATATCACTGGGCCACCGGCAAGGATAACGACGTATCCTCCAGTGCTCACTCGGGTAAGGTGACAGTCGCCAAAGGCCGCGTCGCTGGCAGCATGGAGTCCGAGGTCATCAATAGGCATAGAAGCGTCAAAGGTGATGCCGAGGTCGACTGTGCCAGTGAGGTATCTCATGAGGTGCTTGATTGCTGCGAAGTGGTGCTCACCAGGACGGCTGTTGGCTTCGCAGAGTTTGCTAGTTGCGTAAGTTATATCGGGGCGCGTACCGGTCGAGAGGAAATTAATAGAGCCTGTCATTTGCAAGTACAGCTTGCAACGGTCAGTTTCAACTGGTTCATACTCAACTGGCCACTTGGCGACGATATTATAATCCATTGGTGTACGGACTGGATGGAGGTCCACGTATCCGAACTTCTGAAGCATCCTGCGACAGAATTCGGCTTGTGATAGGTGGAGGGTCTTGGCTCTCTCATTGCGACAGACTTCGTAACCTAGGAATCTCTGAACGTCTCCCAGTTCTTTCATGCTGACAAATGACTTAAGGAGATCCTTGACTTTGCGAATAGTGTTCCGGTCTGGAGCAGCGATGACGTTGTCATCAACATACATCAAAACAATGCAGTTGTACTCGTCATGGATAAAAAGGCAGACTTCGCCTTCAATAGCTCGAAAACCGAGGTCAGTCATGTGACCTTTGATCTTGTTGAACCACCATACAGGTGCCATGGGGTGGCCGTAAAGGGCACGCTTGAGGAGGCAGACTTTGTCTCCTTGGCGATAGCCATGGGGCTGCTGGACGTACACCTTGGTATCGTCCGGGATAGAGGCGTGAAGAAAAGCTGTGTCGTAATCGAATAACTCTGCGATGTAGGTCTTGGTTGCAACAACAGCAAAGAAAACACGGATAGAGGTTGCATTAGCGACAGCTGCGTACAATTGTTCAGCGGACCAGTCAGATACCGCGTGGTTGCCACAGACAACCCATCGGGCACGATATCTGCCGTCAGACTTGATATCGCATATCCATTGGCCAGGAAGAACCTTTTCTCCGGTTGGAGGGTCAACGAGTTCCCAGGCTTCGGCTTGCTGTAGCGCCTTGATTTGCTTATCAAAAGCAGGTTGCCACTTGTCCCACTCAGGACCCTCTTTGGCCTGCTTGAAAGTGCGAGGTACGGTTGGACCAGCGAGTGCGGCAGCGGCGATGGCAGATAATACTGGAGGCTGGTTGTCTTCCCACACAACTGTGTCAAGGCTGACATAGGCTTGTTGATAACCATCAGACTTGGCATACGTGTTGCCTCGGAGAGAGCAACCGCTGAAACCGCCCCTCTTCTTGACCCAAGTGCCCTGTGAGTTTCTGACATGCTCACGTGTTGAGGCTCTGTTTGGTTGGCTTGGAGGAGGGCGAGATTGACGAGTTCGTCTAGTTGGTTGTGTTGTAGGTTGAAGATCGTGATCTTCTGTGGCAACTACTATAGTTGCTTCATCTATATCCTGTTGGATAGCTTCTTCGATAGCGTTATCGAAAGATGTATCAGTATCGTGCTGTTGAACAGTTATGTTAGCAGACATCTGCTGATCAATAGGGCTGTCTGGTTCAGGGGTTGGAAGAGGGTTTTGGGTAGTTGCCTCTTCGGCAGACTTGTTGTCAGTGGTTTCGTCCTGGCGGTCAGGAGTGCTGGACGACTTCTGTGCTCCTTCATACTCAACAGATGAGGTGCTGGTGTCTGGATCAGCAAAAATGGCATCGTGATCAATGGTTGGGTCATTGTCTTCGTCCTGGTGCTTGCCCTGTTCATAGAAACGAACATCGCGGCAGCGGTATACCTTGTGGCTTTGAGGTACGTAGACGTAGAAGAGATGGCCGTGAAGTGAGTCGTATCCAACCAGATATCCCTTGATGGCTCTTGTCTCCATCTCATTGGCGCGGGCTGGTTGCAATGACCCCTTGCGGTGGAGATAGGCAACGCAGCCGAAAGTGCGGATATGGTGGATATACGGTACGTGATGGGCTTCGTCAAGATTGAGATCTTTCGCGAGCATCTCGTGGGGGCTGAGATGGCCTGGATTGGTTGCTTTGGGCAACAGGTTGGCAATCGTGATGACTGTGGTGACGGCATAGTCCCAGAGATAATCAGGAAGGTTGGCGTCAATCAGCATGGTTCGGGCCGCCTCTGCAAAAGTCCGGCCAGCTCGCTCTGCCTTTCCATTCATGCTTGGGGTGTCAGCAACAGTCAATTTGACTTTAATGCCTCGTTTGGTGTACAGCTCCTGCGAAAGAGCATTGAAAAGCTCGGTGCCGTTGTCTATTTGAAACGCCTTAATCGAAAGGTTGGTCTGGTTTTCGAAGAAGTTGATGAATTCTTCGATACGATCAAGCACTTCGTCAGCACACTTGCTCTTGAGCAAGTATCGCCACTGGAAGCCTGTACGCGCGTCGATCATGTGAATTAGATAACGTGACTTTGTATAGGACAAGGGTTCGAATTGTACCAAGTCCATGTGAATGAGATGACCGGGCTGGGCCTCTCGAATGGGGGTTTCTCTGCTGATGAGTTGTTGAGATTTGCCTAGGTGGCAAGCCTCGCAGTGAAAGGTGTCAATTTCTTGTTGAGGAAAAGTTATGCCCACACGACGGCAGGCTTCAACGACCCTGCTCTTGCCCGCGTGGCAAAGTCGCTTGTGCATAAGGTCAAATGTGACTTTGTTGTTATTCTTGCTTACCATAGCAAGGTTAAGGGCCGCGTTAATTTTCGGGCCTTCGTAGTTGTTGGTGACGATAACGGCAACATTGTTATGCCAAACATTGGCGATCGCGACGTTGTTTCCAATGTGGATAGTGTCGTCGCTGACCTTGTAGCCCTGCTGACGGAGTGTGCCTTGACTCAGCAGGTTGACTGGGCAGTCAGGGCAGTACTGTACATCCTCAATTGACCAGTCGACCACCTTGTTGCTGTCATCTGGATCAACGGCAGTGAAGTAAACCGTGCCGTAACCAGCTGGCGATGCGTACTGACCGTTGGCGACTTCCATGGGTGGCAGTATTGCCTCGGTGAAGGAGGTGAACCAACTGAGGTTGTTGAAAGTGGTTCGCGAGCACCCGGAATCCAGGATAATGTCGTCACGGTTAATTCTGCCCGTTGCCATCGAAGTTGAGCACGGCAAGACTGTATGTCCCATTGTGTTCTGGTGGAGAACGTTCGGCGTAGCCTTGACCGCGACTGCCTTACCCTCCCGGCATTCGGAGGTACAAGTATGAGCAGCAGCTTTCTTGAGCAGGTTCTCACGGTACTTATGGTTGGATGGGATGAGGTCGGGATGGGCGACCCAGCAAGAGGTAGTCGCATGTTTCTTGCCGCAGTGTTGGCAGTCAGGACCATTGTAGTTGTTGTTAGGTCGCTGATTGTTGTTTGAGGTGTTACCGGAGGCCTTGTTGTTGCCGTTGCTGTTGTTTCCAACGGCGACGTAGCCCTTCGCGGCATTGAGTGAAGCAGTCCTTTCGGCATTGGCCTTGAATGTGAGATCGCGTGTGAGATCTTCAAGAGTCTTGGTGTTGTCCTCGACGTACTTGTCGTAAAGTGCTGGATATTCTTGTTGGCATCCGTTGAGTAGGATGAACATGGCTTTCTTGTGCCAAGAGGGGACCAGCTCATCGATACGACGAATGAGATACTGGCCACGCTGGAGATACTTATGAGTATCTGAGAAGTCCTTTCGCTTGAGGTTGCAGAGCTCTCGAACGAGCTCGGCGACGGCATCCTCTGAAATCTTGGGGATGATGGTCTTCAATTTGTTCATGAGAAGGAAGGGGTTGCGGTCAGCCGTCTTGATGTCGTATCCATCAGCGAGGAGACGATCGAGGACTTTGCTGATTGATGCGATGATGATGCCGTACGTTTCAATGCGCTGGCTCTTCCAAGTAGTGAAGGCCACAGCCTGCGCTGGAGTGATAGGATCATCGCGATGGGGTTGAGAGACGTCTTCATCGACGTACTTCTCGTAATCGAGAGTCTCAAGGGTGAGATGCAGTACTGCGTACCATTGGTCCCAATTTTCTTCTCCCTTGAGGTCGGGCACCTCCCAGCGGGCGCGGTTGCCAGCCATGATGACGATGGAGGTGAAAGGGTCGTGATAGTGTGTGTATAGGTGTAGACGGCCTGTACGGTCGCGTCTGTTGTTGTTTTTTGAGGAATCTGTACCTCTGCCGTTGCCAGTCGCGACGCCGCGATCTCTGGTCGACAGATTAGTAACTGCTCAATTGAACGGGCTCTACGCAGAGCTGGGCGATCAATTCATATGGGGTAAAAAGAAAAAGAGTCAACGCTGGGCTCTCATAACCTGTGGAGGCAATACTACTGTATTGGATCTGATGATGATGATGATAGGAAAAGCTGAGCGCTGGCTGGGCTGGATATCTGGGCAAGGTGTAGGTGGGGCAGCTCCGAGATGTGAAGGAGCTGCCTCACGTGACCCACCTGCACCTGCCACAATCTCTGAGCAGTCGGCAGAAAAGATGGATCCGGAAGGCGGTATGGGCACTTACAAACGGCCCTTTCACTTATATACCACTTCTGGAAGATCGTGGGCTCTGCCCACAATCTCCTCCTTCCACCTCAAGACGCAGCAATAATAGACCAGTATTGACCCTTCGTTCCAACCGTACGGTTGCCCTGCTGACGTGTATACCAACATTTACTATCTTAGAACGTAGAAGGAATCTTGATATTGTTCGGCCTCGACACATCACTGAGCGGGAATGTCAATTTTGTCTGCTAATTTCATCGAGCGGTCAACTGCAAAACCCACAAATAGCTGGATCTGGGCCCTTGGGCTGTACATACTGAAGAAAAACTCGTTGCCCACGCAGTTGGCTTGCGGTTCTACTGTGGAACTTTTTAATCCTCCAGAATTCAGCTCGAGGAACATGCCACCAACACCTTGCCAATTCCAGTCTGTTTCATCCGCCGCTACATCGAAAGTAAGTCTGTTTTTGTGATGACCTATGTGATGAGGACCTTCCTCCAGCAAATTCTCATGTTCTTGGAGTTGAAGTTGCTCCTCTTGACTTTGGTCGGGTCCGCCAGTAGCCTCGGAGATGGCACTCCCCGGTTCCACATACTTGTTCATCTCGCAATATTGTCCTGAAATCATGGATATGCCGTTCCGCGTCATCTTGATGGTGCCGAGTGCTGGAACTTTAAGCTGTAAGCACCGACTGCCACAAGCAACTCCTGATTTAGCAGATGCGTTCCCCGGCGATCTTCCCATACGGCTAGCAGCATCCGCTTCGATATCTGATAAGGCCTCTAGCATGGCAGCGGTTTGATTCAGCAGGGAGTCACTGCTGGAACTGTCTACTTCCAGCATGAGTTCGATGGCTTCCTGAACCAAAGCACGATCACTCGCTCTCTGATGGACGAGGAAATCAACCACATCAGAGCCACGATTCCATCTCTCGATATGTGCGATGAGCAAGCTGAGGCATGCTGTGAAGGCGGAGAAGTCGATGGCTCTACAGCAAAACGCGATGTGATTCGTGCATCGAAACTTGATATAGCGACTTGGGAGCTCGCGGCTCGCGTTTGAACACGCCGCTCTGCTGTACTCGTAATTTGCGCCGCAGTTGGATTGTAGCATGTAGGGAAGGTGGAGGAGGATCAACAGATTGAAGTGAGTGATCTGGAGTAAAATTTGAAGGATGACTTTAAGCTTTCCCTTATCACTTTGCTTTGAAGTGTGCTGCCTCAGTCGAGTGCTTGAAACTAGCCACCAATCGGCAGGCATCCACTGGGCAGCCACCTGCAGCATTTGGTCAACTTGTTGCGTGACCCCGAAGTCCCCAAGCTGAATGCTCTCGTTTCGAACGGTGATGTGGCGCATTATCTGACTGTGACTACGCTCAAGATGGTCGTAGGGGGATTCCTCAGGGGTAAACTTGGCGTTTGCCGTATACGGGTGGGTCATCAAGAGTTGTAGCAGGTAGACCGAGCATGAGGGCCAAGTACCTCTCCTGGCTCAAAAGCCTATGCCACATGAGCGATGCTGAGGCTTTGGTTTGGGGATCGAGTATTATCAGTTTGTCTGGTTGATCATGATGCAGGCCAATTAGTTGGGCAAGACCGATAGCTCTTCGAAGCACCATCCAAGCGCGACGCAGATTGCCCGCATTGGTGTAAAAGACAACTGTCGGATTGGAAGTCCAATTCGGCCGCGAGTAGGGGCAGAGCATGGGCCACCTCGAGGTGGTACACTTAGACCTCGACTACCCACCCAACCTCCGGTTGGAATCTCCCTTCTACTCCTTACGCAGAATCAATCAATACAGAGATATTGATACTTCGTCACCCCAGGACCCTACGGTTCGAACCAAATTCCCTGTGAAAGGAATACCAACAACAACCTCAAGAATTAAGCATTCCAGGCCTTCTTGTGAGCTCATGACTTCATCGTTTCCGGTCACGCATGAGACACCGCTGAGATACTTCTGAACGGCATCTTCCGCACAGCATCCGAGATCCAGTTGGTTCGCAATGGGCGTAGAAGCAGGTAGATTCTGCAGGCCGTTGGCGAGGTAAAGCAACGTCCGGGCAAGGAGCACCGGGTGGCTTGAGGATCTGGGTAGGGAAGACAAGGCCGAGACTGATCTGTTCTTGCCCCGAAATAGATCTTGGTAGGGTAACGTGAAGAACTGGAGGAAAGCCGCAGTGTAGCCCGCCGAGATGATCGAATTTGCATCTTGTTGGGATGGGAGCAATACATGGAGCATACGAGACAACCCTGCATATTCTTCATCCATGCCTCCATTAGTTTCCGACAGATTATCCTGCAACGAGTAATCGACGTCGTCGAACTAGCTCTACCGTCAGAAATCGTACCAGACACGAGAGGGGCCTAGACGTACCAGAATACTGTCAAAAACTTGTATGCTCGGACAGGGGGTAGCAGCCAGAGACCTTGACGGTGGTTCCGGTTGCGTAGACTCTGGCCTTAGTGGTGCTTGCTCGCTCGAGGATCCGGAGGCAGCTAGGTTCTGGGAAAGACGCTCTGCTCCCGGTGTGAGAAGACTGGCTACTTGAGTCATCTGTTCGAGTAGCGCTTCGGCCCTTCGCAATGTCGCCTCTATTTCCTGCTGTTTCCCAACCGCACGATCTTGTTCTATCGCATCGTTATCGTATTCCTGGGTCCGACAAGCGGCGTCGCGGCGTTGACATTAAATGCAGATGTCTTGAGATTGGTCCGAGTATTGACACCGAACCTTTCTTCGTTTGCCTAGCAGCCATTGAACCGTTAGTGGAAATGTTATGGTCAGGGAAGCACGGGTACGCCATACACTCCCAGCAGCTTGTTGTTCCCTTGCGAATCTTGCGCTTCTTGGGCGCATGCCCCTCGGCTATGGGCGATGGGGCGAGATCTTGGCTCGGCATGCTCTAAGTGCGTATTATCAGAAGAGATGGACGACGAAGGAATATGAAGAAGCAAGGTGAGGTCAGGAAGGGACACAGGAAAGGAAATCGAGGAGATGATCGAAGAAGGCGAGGAAACAACAGCAGTAACGACGCGCTGTTGACTTCTCAGCTCCTGCCTCTATGGCAGACGCGGCAGCGCGCCGTGCGCGGGGAGGAGTCGAAACGCGAGTCACGGGAAGTCACGTTTTCCTTGGCCCAGTGGGCAAGCCCTCACTCGTCGGGGCAAACACCGAGTACCGGACCGGGATTGGAATCCCGGAAAAGTGGGTCTCGGTGCAATACCTCCCGTGTTGCGCCGGTGCCGCGCCGGCCAAAGCTGTGAAGGCATGCTTGAGCAGAATATGGCATCGCAGCCATTTGAAAGCTCAAATACGCCTTACATCTCACTCAGGGGGGGTATGTATTGGGACCACACCCGTAGAGACAACATGACTTGAGTTCACAGATCCGAAGATTATTATTACCTTCCTATAATGCCTATACGTGCCATTCAATCCAAAACGCTTTCTCTTGCCATGCTATGACTTCAATATCTTCTGCATATTTCAATACCTTGTCGTCCTGGAACACTTAAACGGTTTGTTGGAGCGCGTATCTTCGGACAGGCTGTAGTTGACCGTGTCGAATCGTGTCAGGTCCGATGTGATGGGGTCGACGGACTTACTGGTAGCATAGCTACGTTTAAAGGCAAAGTCTTCCCAAGAAACATACTTTCTTAAATAGCAGCGTAAAGGCGAGAGCAGAAAGGTCAACGTACAGGATCCCAGATGTCTCGAACGTGTCACTATGAAGGGTGTAGCTCTGAAGGCTTTGCAAAGGAAGTCGAATACATCTCAATCTCAGCACTGATCGTAGAATTCGTCCTAGCCCACGCCCTGAGCGTCGACGGCAGCCTGCTCATTAAAGTTCGAGTGCAGTGCGACGATGGTGCCCGTCTAGAAGATGCTTCGGATTATGTCTGATAACGTTGGAACGGTCTTGACGTGGACTCTACCCAGGTGAAGGTTCTCGATGAACCTCTTGAAGTTGTGCTGATCGGCTGGCGGGTTGTGAATAGCCATCTAGACTACTACATCACGCGTAAATGCGGAAGTTTCGATGATTAAGACGTCGACTTTACCCTTGGCTCATCTTCATGGCACGACGAGAGGATGAAGGTTGTGATAGAGCAGCCGGATTGCCTTAGATCCTACGGAAAGTCTACAGTGGACCGGCCGATCTCCGATTCCGCAACACGGCAGAGCATCTGACGAGCTGTGCCCGGTATGGTCTGGGTGGTATTGAAACACTTGAAGTTCTTGCCAAATCATCGCATGCATGTTCCATGCCAATCCATATTGTATCTAGTCATTGAGTATCTAGTCTTAGACAGGTGGCCTCCTTTGAGATAGTCACAAGATGCGCTTATGCTCCCGCCACCACGGCCAGACCATCGTAGATCATCCTCTTCACCTCGTAGAAAGTGCTGCGGTGCTGCATCATCGTCGCCGCATCCGCAATACCCACGCTCTCCACCTCCACCTTGCCCGTGCTCGTCTTCCGTACCGCCACCGCGCCGTTGATCACCAGCGTACCCTCGCCACGGAACTCGGCCGTGTATCCCGCTGACTGCATCGCTCGCCTCAGATCCGTGAGCCTCAAGTCGCCCACGTGTAGCGGTTGTGCGACCGAACGCACAGCAGATGCCATGTTTGAAGGCAACAAGTCCAGCGTGGGTACCACCTCGATCTCGGCAGCCTCGTCTTCTCCCTCCTCCTCCTTCTTGACCTCCTCGCCTGCTTCGGCATCTTCGGTCTCTGTCTTCTGCCTCTTGTTGGCCCCGTCGTCCTTATCGATGAGCTTTTCCTTGGCCAAAGCCTCCGCAATGAGCTGACCTGTGACAGTCACGACGCCCAGGCCGCGAACATTCTGCCACTTGAGCTTCTTCACCAGGCTGTCTGCCAGCTTCACCACCCATGCGTTGGTGTCGACACTTGCGTCTACCCAGGCACCCATTGCTGGCGTGTACACATCGATCGCGCTCTCCTCGGACGCTCCGATCTGGGCGGCCAGCAGTTTCTTGCAGTCTGCTGCGAGGGCTGTTGTCTCGTCCGCAGTGCCACCAACCAAGATGAGTTTCCTCGGTTGGATCAATGGGATCAACATGTTCAAACTCCTCTTGTCGTGCAATCCACTGAAATCAACAAATGCGATACGCAAGTTGACCATGACCTTCTCTGTTGATACGATCAACTTGGACGGACCCTGTATCTCCTCCTCGATAACGTCCTCCACGTCGTCGAACTCATCAGCAACATGGTCGCCTGGGCCGTTAGCGTCCAAGTCATCCGCAGAACCTGCCCTGTTATTTTGGCGTTTGTTTGCTGCTTTGTTGTTGCCGTCGTCCCACTTGCGCTTCTTTCCGAGTCGGTCGTCATCGTCATCTCTCCGCAGACCTTCGTTGTCCGGTGTATCTTCCTCCTTCTCCTCGGCACGCAGATAATCTTCGGGGCGGATCACGTCTCCGAATTGGTCGTCTCGTCTCCTCCGCATGACGAGAGGGAACGACCGTTCGCGGCCCTTCTTGCCCCTCACATCGAAGTCGTAGGCACCGCGCTTCTTCGTCAGAATGTTGATGCCGAGGTCCTCGTCTGTAAGGACAACCTTCTTGCGTGTTGCCTGGCCCATGGTTGTCGAGATGTTGAGGGCCTTGCCTTGCTGCTCATTATCGGATTCGCCAGAGTCTGAAGAGGATTCAGATGAGACATCATCGGCAGCATCTGCAGGCGCTTGCAAGGAAGCCCCACCACTACTCTGGAGCGTAGCTTGCAGCTGGCGTTGAGTCGCGAGCCACTGCTGGTACACGGTGAGCTCTTCTCCCTCCAATGCTTGCCTCTTGGCCTCCTGTATCTCCAACTCCCTGCCGCCACCGTAGACAAGCTCGAGACTGTTACCGTTACTTGACTCCTCCACCGAAGCACCATCTCTCCGTTCACTCCACCAATCCCAAAGAGTTCTGGCTATTGATGGCCTTTCAGTCTGTGACTTGGCTGGCTTATCTGTGAGGATGACCAAATTCCTAGAATCTTTTGCTAGGCCTTGGATTAGGTCTTTGGAGAAACCCCACTCCAGCGTATCGTCACTTGCGAGAATGACTCTTCCTTCTGCCTGGACATTATCCGCGGAGCCCGAGAGAAGCTTCTCGATTTGTGCCCGGCGTTCAACGAGTTTCAGGTATCTGAAGTCGAAAGGGACCCCCTCCTTGCTCCTCCCTTCGGCACCATTTGGTCGGCGTTGCCCATCAGCTACCGATTCGAATTCCCTTACGATGTTGTCGTCCATCCACTCCAACATGCTTCGTGCATATCGCAGGGTGCTCGACATGTTTCGTCCAGCGAGGTAGAGTTTTGCTGCCTTGAGACTGCCACCGTCCGTTTGCGAGTCTGTCCTCCACGCTTGTTCTAGCAGATATGCGATCTCCAAAACACGTGCGCTGGAGTCCACCGGGATAAGTGCCGTTCCTCCCCGGCTGACGCAGGTTTTGATCATGTCGACCAGCTGCTCGTCGCGTTTTGCGCGGCCGCCAGCTTGAGCAACCTTTTCCGCACCTCTACTACTGCACACCAAAGCCGTCGGCTTGCGCAGTTGTTCGATAACCTCGGCGCCGCCACCTCCAGCCCCACCTAGCCAGGCAGCTCCAGCGAAGACATTTTCCTTGGCCTGGTTCCAATCCACAGCGTAGACAATTGACTCCAGACCGTGCTGGATATGCCATATGGTTCCTCCGAGAGTGTGGCCTGCATTGTAGGCTGTAATCATGAGGCCATTGAGCGGCGGCGAGAAGGGAGACGGAAGGGGTTCGTGGGGTTGCGAGTATTTGAGAGGTTGGATGAGGGAAAAGTATCGAGTAATTTCCTCAGGGGATGGCGCTTGCAGAAGAAAGTCGCTGTCGGCCGTTGGTTGCTGAGAGAAGGAATATGCGGCCTCGGTCAGAGAGCCGTGGGGTATCTTTGTCGCGGCCAGAGGGGTGGAAGCGTAGAGGTCTTGGGTCAAGGTGCGACCTAGATCGATGACAGGTCGGGTAGCGTATACGGGGATTCTCGTAAACAAGGGGAAGTTCTTGCAGCAGTGGGAAAAAGCAGCCAAATGCGATGTTGTGGCGTGTGTCAGAAGGATGATGGACAGAGTCGGAACCTGTCTAGAGGAATGTCAGCGGTTGTCATGAAGCGCGCACCGAGTGGGAGGAAGGGTCGGTTACTTTTCAAGCTCCCGAAGCTTTTCGACATCGAATGACTCGTCCCAGCCAAGATCGATAAGAATCTTGACACCGCCATCGAGCTCAAGTATCGACTGCGACGCTGTTGAATCGGAAAGGGCGCCCTGTAGAGGGCAGAAGGTAAACATGATTGGTATCTATTCAGCAGAACCGCAATGCATTGTTTGAAGATAAAAGTCTTGGAATTGATTCGACACGGAGTCGCTTCAAGGTCCAGGCGCGGGGGCAATAACCATAGCGCTGACGCGCAGGTGTCGGACGAAAATGGATCGTTGTCGTCGTTGTTGCAAGCGCAGCGAGTCGTGAGATTTCAGGTTCGACAGAGGTGTCGCGTCAGAGAATCCAGGAACCAAAAAGTCTAAGGTTGCATGCGCTCGTTGCGTGCAAGCCTGCAAGGTGCTTTGGGTACGTACCATTGAGCACCAGGGAAGAGCAGGGGCCAGCTGAGGCCCGGCTCCGTCATAATAAAGTGCATCCTCTTGAATGACCTGGCATCGGAGCGACGGCGATCTCTTTCCGTGCCCGATTGGGACTAGGCTTTTTTGTCTCCGTCGAGTGGAGACAAGCCCGGCTCCGTGGGTTCCAACGGACAGCTGCTGGAGCTCCCGCATTGGCCAGGGTAGGGGAAGGTAAGGTGAAGTCGGGTACGTATCCGTGAGGTACATGCCGAAAAAGACATCGGGCCTGGAAAAACAAGTCGGAAAGTTATCGTGTCAATTTGGCCCGGATCCCTGTTGATTCGTGCGTCTGGCCAGAGAGCATCGAAAGGGGACACAATTCAAGCTTGTCACTTTTCCAGAAGCTCGGTTTATCCTCGACTTTGCCGCCAAACATC